ATCCACTGTCACACAGTTGGTGTTTGTGTCCTGAATACTAAATGGCTTTTTCCCTCTTTTTATTAATGGCCAGTGATGGTCCTAAACCCATTTATGTTTAAAAAAAAAATCTTCAGTCCTGCAGCCTGGAGTTTGGATGGAATATATTTATCACCTATCCCGGAGAATGAGGCTCCTGATTCCCCAGATTTGTCTTACAATTGTCTCTAAGACAATGAATGATGCAGAACTCTCCTCCAAGGTTGAGATCCTTTGTTAGAGAGCAGTTTCTAACACCTGACTTGTTTTATAGCATGAACGATCTCATGATCCACTGGCGAGGCAACATCCATAATTTTGAATGAGAGAGGAAAGCTTGCCTCGGTGGCCCTAAGCATCACTTCTGGTGACACACTTAGCAATCCTTAATCGCTTGCTACCTAGAGGCAATAAACGCACCTGTCTTTATGTTCCATTGCCTGTGTGTTTACCTGAAATATACCCTGCATAGCAAAATGCCAGTTTCTAGTTTCACTCCTGCCAGAAGGTCCTTTGGCTCATGAATTATACGGCCCTCACTCACCCCTATTTTGCCAAAGGTGGTTGTGCCTTTTGTAGGCCCAAGACCGCAGCTTCTTTGGCCAGGAAACCCCCTGGCTATTTATGCTTCTTGTAAAACTCTGGCCATTTGCTTGGTTTCTGAGCTCTAAGAAAGGAGATCCATCTCTGGTCATCATGTGGGGTTCAGGGTTATTCTGGGAGGGTGGGATGATGACGTCTCATTCACTGGTGTGTGCCTAATGGCCAGCCCAGGGCCTGGCATACAGAAGGCGTTCCATGACACTCGATGTTCTGTTGATTCTGAGAGGACCTGGGTCTTAGAACCGGTTCACCCTTTTGTATCCACCCTTTCTGGCTACATGACTTTAGACAGTTTATATAACATTTCAGTCTGTTTTCTTTTTTATAATTTTGAATTTCATTTTCTCTTCTGTATTTGAGGATTAGAGATAATATACATGAAGTGCCTAGTGCCTAGTACCGAGTGGGCACTCCAGACACGGGAGCTGCTGTGACTGCCATAAATATTGTTATTCCGGGGAAGTGCTGCCTATTATACCAGAAATCACTGGTCTCCTTCACCCTGAAGTGTGACCCCACCTAAAGTCCAGCCGGCGATGGAGAGGGTGCAGCTGGCAGAGGGAGCTCACGCATGGTGTGACCTTCATGGTTCAGGGAAACTTTTGACATAATATAAGGCAAACCCTCCCTGTATCAGTAATTGCTGGAGATGTTAGCTTGCTACTGGGTGAAATTATTTGAAAGAGAGAACTTCTCTACATTTTAAACCGGCCTCAGTTTTCCATGTTCCTTTTCATCAAGTGGGCTCTGCTTTGAGAAGGGATCGTATCAGCGTTCAACCCTGTCAGTGGTTTTCCTTCTTTGCCTTTCTTTTTCTTTCTCTTTGGCCTTGGCTCCATTCTTTCCAACCACCAACCACTCCCCTCCCAGAATCCTTTTTTTAAAAAGTTTCCTTCCTTGCTCCAGAATCACACCACCCACTGAGCACATCATCTGGAAGTCCCTGTCCCCGAGCTCACTTGCTGCCAGGCCGGTGGCCCCCAGAGGCTTGAAGGCCACAGGGCCATACCATCTTTTCTCAGGACTGGAGAGAGTAGATTAGACAACATCCTCAGATGTCCCATCTCATGGCAGGTTGCCGCCACCATCAAGGCTTCGGCTGTAGATGCTGGGGGACTGCCTGTTTCTTCAGGCTACGTTTTCTAGAAAGATATCATCCCTTTTATTTGCATTTAATGAGGACAGACATTTTAATCAGAGGTTAGTCATTTATTTTTGCAAACTATTGTTTTGATTCATCATTTTTGCAGATAATTAAATGGTTCAGTTGGCACAGTATGTCTACTTTATTAAAACAGGTAATTTTGGGGGAAAAAAGATGCTGTTTTTTGGATCACTGCACAAGAATTGCTTTTATCTTCATCTCTGAGCATAGTTTCTGGTTATTTTGCCAGGAGGCTCTCTCGTGTGCAGGCGTTTGGTGTCCTTTCTGGTCTGGAGGGGCCTGCCCTTTGATGATTGGGATGTTAGCAGATACACCCTTTGAAATAGGAGCTGAAGAGTAAATTCTGTGCAGCCACCTTTTAGGAAGACTATTACTTAGGTTTTAATTGGATTGGGGAAAAGAACCTACAAGTTATGAACTTTGCAGAGCAGCAGTTCTTATGCTAAAAACAGATTAATTGTAGCCCTCAAAGTGGGTGGAGTTTAAAAGTCAATTACTGCTTGTCCTATTATAATTTACACACATAGGATTTGAAAAAGTTTGTCACTTAGTGTAAAAATGAAAAGGTTACATGTACTAGTTTGAGTATACCTGTGACTTTTCATTTGTAAATGCTTTAGCTACATGTATTTGTGTGTATGCAACTTGTAGCTGTGGAGTTATAACTACATCTGTGAGCAAGATTCCTTATGAAGAGTAACCTTTAAGGTCTGTTTCTTTAAATTCATAGTGGCTCAGCATATAGTCCTTTGTCTGGCAGTCCAATTCACTTGTGGGTGCAGTGGCCGGCCCCAGAAGAGCCTAAGGGACACTCCACTCATGAGTCATGAGCTAGTAAGGGAATGGCCCTTCATGGGTCAATTTTTTAAAAACAAATTGCTCACAACATTTGCTTTCCTTGATTTTTTTTCCATGTTTGTGTCCCGAATCAGTAAATTTACTCATTGGAAGGATTTATTTTAGATGGACCAATTAAAACTTTGGGAGCTAATTTTTTGCTGAGCAGAGCAGACCTCTGAAAACACAATTTATAACATGGCTTCTGCCCTTTTCCACAGAGAGCTGTCATATGGTACTGTAACCTCGGGTGCTTGTAGAAGTACAAAATTGCTGTTCTTTGTCCTCCAGCTCTGGGGCTGAGCTGCTGTGTGGGTGGGTTTCTCGAGGCTTCCCATTGTTTTAGGGTGAACAGGGAAGTCTGAAAAGTCCAGCCCAGCCCAGGAGTAGCACGCTGTATTTGTTTGCTTGCATAAACTCCATAGTTTAATTTTTTTTAATAGGAAGCTGCTATGTAGTTCGGATATTTAAACAGTTATTAACCGAATGACAATTAACAGATTGCATAGACAGATTTTCTTTTGAAAACCTCTGAAATTGAGTACAGTTTGCAAAACTATCACGGCATAGTAATGACAATGAATTTTGATTTCCCGGAACTGATATTAGACTCCTTATTAAACTATGTGCATCTGCTTTTAATTTACTCCAAATAATTGGAAAATGCAATGAAGCTTTCCAATTAAAGCACGGCTTTATGCTGTTTAATAATACCCCCATAATATTATAGCTTATGAAGTGACAGGTGAGTTGGTGTATGAATAAAACATAAAGGCAGCAATAAGGGACAGAAAACCGGAGACAGTTGTGGGGATTTTAAATGCTGGATGTAATTTGCATATATTAATCTCTTCTTTTCAGCCTTATCAGGCGTTCTTCAGTATTTGAAGTTAAAATAGCGTTGACAGGCGGGAGTACGCTTAGTTTTTTCAAGGATTTATTACTTGTATAATTTCTGATCTTTAATAAGCAGATATGACTGATCCTCATAGTTCTATAGAAATCAGTTAATTGTTCCAGATGGCGTGTACTGATTATGCAAAATTACTTTTCACACCATTTTTTTTGTGATGGAGTTTGGAGTAAAATTAAATTTTTTATAGCCTTCTTATCATGCTGTTTTACAGTGGTTTTTCCACAGAAGTTGAATTTAATCTACTATATTACATTGACCAGCACAGTTATTCTAATGTAGCATTTTGTGATTTGACAAAGAATAATAGAACACATTGCTCATTGTTCATTACTGTGTCCCTAATAAAAAGGAACTCCTGTGTATAGAACATAGCTGTTATTTATGAAGAATGCCTAATTCATACAGTTAAAAATGCAAAATTGTATTATGAAGTAGTTCCTTTTGGGGAGAGAATATCTGGGAAAAGCAAATGGAAATAGGCTTGTTGCTACAGATTTTACATGCTAAGGGAGGAGCCTTCTTTTAATGACCATCGTGTTTAAATTGTGCTACTTCTTTGAAGAAGGGAAAAAAAAAAACAGATAATCTTATTCTATTAAGAGAGGTGTCACTAGTTGACTTGTCTTGATTTATATAATCCCAAAAGTCTTTCATAATTGAATAGCATTTATAAAAGGTGGTTACACTTTGGTGTAAAGTATCCAAAAAAAAAAAAAAAAAGTCTAAAAGGCGTCAATGGTAATTCGTCTCTAACATTTTCCAGAGTGTGGGTTTATCACCAAGGCCCTTGTGTTGGTGTCAGATCCAAGTCCAGGTGGTGTGTGCCCCTAGGTGACATTCATGTGGGCTGATCCTCGTCCAGGTTCTCAGATAACACACTCTCCACGGTTCCGCTGCTAGTGGGATGTGAAGTACTCAGCCGATTCACTCCAAAATGGGACTGAGGGGGCTGTCACCTTGATGCAGGAGTGGATGCAGTTTCTTTCCTTTAGGAAGACCTCTTCCCAGAGCACAGTGGGCTAGGGGTGGAGGGAGAGAGCATTCTGTTGCATCAGAAATCCTGTTTGGATATGTGGTATTTTAAATATAGCAGATAAATTCATAGAAAAATATTTCTATGTATATAGTCTGAAGTTTGACCTGTTTACCGAAGAGCCCATCATGTATTAAGTGTTAGCAGGACTTGTGTAGACTTGGGACATATCTCTATTTTAAGTAGAGTCGAATCCTATGTATGATACTCACTCGATCACTATGGGGTCCATCTGCTTGCTCCTGGTAGTTCTGGTCCCGCTTATCAGCAATTCCACATGCTTGAGAACTCACCCTTGTTTGAACAGACTTGAAGACGATTTGGATCTGTTTCAAGGGTTAGATTCCCTTGACCCTAGGGGAATCAGACTTTTTTTTTTATTATTTTTAATACACTTCGAAGAGCAACACTGATTGCTCTTCATACAGGGTGTCCTGGAGTGGAAGCAAGCCTGCATTGATGCCCATGAGTAGGCTCTGGTGAAACAAAGGTGAGCCACAGAGAGTGGCAGACCTGGGGGCTCTGAGAGTGCTGGGCAGGGAGCTCGTGGGTCTGCTGGGGATCAGGGCGCTGGGCAGGGAGCTTGTGAGTCTGCTGGGGGTTAGGGCGCTGGGCAAGGAGCTGCAGGGTCTGCTGGGGGTCAGGGCGCTGGGCAAGGAGCTGCAGGGTCTGCTAGGGGTCAGGGCGCTGGGCAAGGAGCTGCAGGGTCTGCTGGGGGTGGGGGTGCTGGGCACAGGGAGCTTTCAGGGTCTCCTGGGGATTGGGGCGCTGGGCTCAGGGTGAGGGTTTCTCTCTGGGAGTGTGGGGTCTCTATATGGACCTGAAACACAGAGTCTGTTAGAAGCCCAGATATTAGATTCTGTTAGAAGTCCACTGCCCATGCCACGCAGATTGTACCATGTACATTATACTATATCTGGTCTTCAAAATATTTTTGGTTAAACTCTTATTTTGTATCTACTCTGGTCTTGAAGGACATTTCACAGTAAGGTGATATATTTCGCTCCTAATAGTACTAGAATGACTAATTAAACCAAACATTTAAGAAATGTGACTCAGAGCCTAGAGGACTCTCATATGTACAGTACCAACCAAATTCTGTATTCACTTTACCTCCAGAGCTTCAAAAACTTGAAACTTTTCACATACCCTCTTCTATAAACCCAAAATGTATTTTTGTGAAAATGAAAATTATATGAAAAAGAGAATGCATAAATCAGAGATGATTAAAAATATTTGTTCTAATGCAGTAATAATTTGGTAGTAATGCTTTCATCAGTATAGCTTAAGGCTACATTAAGTGGACAGACTTTATATGGATTCTCTAATTTTAATCTTCAAAATGCTATCTAATGTCTCATTAAGACTTGCATATAATGTATCTTAAGTACAGTCATTAAATATAGTTTAGGGAGATTTATGTTCAGATATTGCTTAAAGATGTTTTAATAGGCCCATTTACTCTGATGATATTAATGAGCTCTTAATACAGACTAAGCTTCTAAAACTAGTGGTAAAGACTCCCAGCCTCAACACAACAACTTGGAATTAATACCTGGTTTGGACAGAAGCCTGAGGGTGAGTCCTGCAGACACTTCAGGGTCAGTGCAAGCCCCTTGCTGGATGGAGCCTTGTGTTTCAGAAAGGGGCCTCCTGAAACGGGGTCTGGCGGCTGACTCCAGAGCACCCATTCTGCTGCCAGTCTGAGTACAGTCTCTTTTCTCCCCCAAACTGTGCACAGGACATGTGCTAACTAGACCGAAGTACATCTCCAAGGTCATTTGAGAGGCATTGACAGCCTTGGCGGTGGCACTGCAGCCTGTAAGGGGTTAAAGGAGGCTGTTTGCTAAACTTCCTGTGGAAGCATCTGCCAGGTAAGGTGTGCACAGTCTGGCATCGTTATGTGAAACAGCTTCCCTCTGCCATGAGTGAACTGTGAAAGGTCACATGGGTGTGCTTTCATCTTTCAGGCATTCGTCGTAGCTGAAATATACATAATAAAGTAGTCCTGCTAATTCTAAATCGGAAAGAAGAAAAGCCCAACAGGAACCTCCGTGAGCCCCTCACATACGTGCACAGTTGTTCCCCAGACCCCACTTTTAAATGTGTGGCAAAAAAAATCTCTGTTTTGGTATTTCCCTCTTTCGGAGAAATATTGGAAAGTACATTTTTTTGCTTCAATTATTTTAAGGGAGGAAAAAAAAGAACCCATGAGTTCAGAGACTTTTCTAATTACTAAATTGGTTTGTTATAAAAAGATAATAGCAAATTTCTTCTTTTCATAATTGGACATTTCTTCCCTGTAGGCTAATGCAGGCACAGCCCGTGCATGCACAATAAGTTGTGCTTTTGAAGAGCCATAACTAGCTAATAACAGCTACAGTGTCATCAGAGAGTAATGGTGTGCTGATTAGCATAATTAATGACAAATGGTGGTGCGGAATTGGTGGATTGGTTTAGCGGATGATGAATGCGGCGAGGCCTGGGCTGGGGCCTGCCAACTAGGCCTCGCTGGCTGTCAGCCCTTCTGTTCTCCCGATGCAGCCCTCATTAGTCACGATGGGAGGTGCCAGTTTGTATTCTGTTTGGAGCACAGAAAACTTAATAATCCAAGCAAATGTGGCTTTCCCTTTTTCCTCTGTATTTACTCACAAAACCCTCTCACTCATTTCCATTGTGGCTGAACCATTAAGACACAGCTCTTTCCAGATCCCTCCGTGAGGCCTGAAGGCAAAACAAAAGGGAGCGTAATAGAGAGAGACAGGTATCTCAGAGCTTTCATCTGACCATCGATGAATTACTCTCACTAGAAAGACTTCTGTTTGGTGAACTCTGTTTATCTGTGTACTTACAAAGGGAAAAGAGATGAACTCAGTAAGCGATACATTCTGTCCTGAAATCAGAGTAGCACATTTATCTTTGACTTGATGAATCAGACCTAATTTGCATTCACAAATGAGACTGATAAAAATGGATTTACCTTTTAACCTTTAGAGGAGGAAAGGTATTTCTCTGCAAGATTTCTGGGGCTATCGTTTCTTAACCGATAAGAAGCCACTCCTTTATCAATAAAAATGAAAATCTCTAATTTGCATTAGTGAATGAGCCTAATTATTATATACTTAATTAGCATCTGGAAATGAGGATTATCTTAATTACAAAGCACAATTTCCCTAATAGCTACAAAACTGTAAGTTTGATCCATGTGGAAATTGGTAACTATTATTATGTAATTAGTGATAACATTAATCGTACAGAATAGTTGGATGTAATTTGCATATGCAAATGTGATTTACCTGAGCCAAACAAGTGGACCATTAATGATTAGAGCATGATATAGCTGACTGAAAGTTCTAGATAGCTGAATGGTACCTATTATGCAGAATATCTAGATTATATAGTGGTAGAGTCAGCAAGGACCTTTTATATTTAGATGGTCAGGGTGGATTTTGCTTTAAGAAGAATTAGTAGCTTCTGGGTTAAATAATGAGGCTAACTGCTTAGAGAAATAGCCCATAATCATCTCCTTGACTTTGATTTTTTCATGCTTCCCAGTATCCCTTGAATCTGAGATGTATTTTCCCTATGTACTTTAACAATTCTGAATTTTGAATCTGTCTTACAGTTGATGTGTACTTTTAAATCGGTCACACACACTCAGGAGCATAGTGAATAATGAATTTGATGGTGCAACTTACAGTTGTTGAGGGGAGAATCAGACCTTTCTGAATTTTATCCACAGGGCCCTAGAGCCTCCTCCCATCAGAACTGGTTCTTTGTATGTATCTTCTGGGGTTCTGTCTCCTTCCTCCCTCAGACTGACGCATGCTTCCCAAAGCCATGTACTCATGGTGGGGTGGATTTTAGAGTAGACATGGATGGCCTTTATGAAAATGTCATCCATAATAGCATATCAGTGGATATCATTGTTCAGAATGGGATTAAAGTTGGTATATTGATCAGTCTTTGCTCAGTTATCATGCCAGTAACAAATACCCCTCCAGATCACAATGGCTTATAGTATCACCATTTTGTAACATGTAACTTGGAAATGTAAATTGGAACTTGAGTGGCATGTATCACTATGTCACTCAAGTTCCAATTTGGAACCTTGCTCCATGTGTCTTTGGACTCTGGGACCCAGGCTGAAAGAGCATCTCCTGTCTGTAACTTGCTATTTTTATAGTAGAGGGAAGAGTGAGACCTGGAAGAAACACTCAGTGGCTCTTAAAGCTTCTGGCCATAGTGGCAAGGCCTGCAGCTGGCCAACATCAGTGGGGAAAGTATATCCTCATCTCCCAGCCCTGCCTTTCAAACGGCAGTGGGCAGGTGGTCATACAGGGACGTGGGAACACAGACTCGGGGATGGTGACACTACCCACTGGAGGAAGCTATTTTGAGTTTAAACTCGGTAATTATACTGGAAAAAAATAAGTGAATCTGAGACATTAGATACCTTCCTAGAGTCTAGCAAACACTGGCTGGTAGTGTCTGTAGCGTTTCCCTGTGCAGGCTTTTATCTTCGACCCCCCAAGAGCTTGTGTCCTCCTGGGGTGGTTAGGCAGAGCCCAGGGGTTTTGTTAGGTACTGCAGCACAGTGGAAGTAGCACTACTCTCTGAAGTTGAAAGTGCATTTTGACCATTTCCAAACGTGAGACCATGATTCTTTTCTCTGGAACTCCGTTTGCCTAGCTGTAAAATGAAGCTCTTGGACAGAGTGGACCTCCTGTGGCTCTACCCTTCCACCAATCCTCTAAGCACCGGTTCAGGGCCAGGCATCCTGCAGGGCTGAAGCAGAGGTGCAGAGAGGTTTTGCCTCAGGGCACAAGGGACTGAGGTTCCAGCTGAGCATGACCTACCCCTCATTTCCTGTAAGAACCTAATAAAAAGTTGGTTCCTGGACCAAAGAGTTCATGGATATTTTTTCCTCTTTTAAAAAATAAAAAATAGACACAAACCTTTTCTTACTTGAATGATAAAAGTAACGTGTTCATTGTAGAAAAGTTACAAAATACATGAAAACATAGGAAAAAAAATAAATATCAGTTACAACCCCATTACCCAGAGAAACAGTATTTCAGGGTATGGCATTTTAACATTTTTTTTTTCTGTACCATATAGTTACATGTAAAAGTGTATGTCTACCTAATTGTCCTTTCTGGTACTTTTGAAGTTAGATTTATTGAGATACATTTACATGTAATAAAATCAAGCTCTTTATGTGCACATTTCAGTGACTTTTGACAAATGTCAAATTACATGACAGCCACCTCCAGAAACAAGTTACAGAATATTGCCATGAGTCCCATAAATTCACTCATTTCTATTTCCAGTGGTTCCCTCCCCATTGCCAGTCCCTGGCAGTCACTTGCCTGCCCAATGCTGTCGCATACATGGAATCATACCATATGTAGCTTTGTGTGTCTCTCAGCATAATATTTCTGAGAGTCTTCCATGTTGTTGCATGTGTCAGGAATTTGTTCCTTTCTAACACTGCGAGTGTCCATTCTGCTCTGAGACCTGGTCACGCACCTCATTCCTTATCATTAAGTGAGGTGGTCCTCAGGCTGGGATTAAGGATTGTATAATCCTCCCTCTGATGGATACAGTGGACTTTCCCTAGCCAGTCCTCAGCGGCTGCATATTTACATTGTCTTCGCTCCCGAAGGTTATATTTTGGTGAATATTCCTTTGGATAAATATATAAACACATTTTTAAAGATTTTGGCATATAAGGATTGAATTTGTTTACACTTCTGTGTATATGAAAGAGGTTTGTTTTGTTTTCCCCACAAGCCTTGCTAACTGGCAATTAGTTTTTAAATTTTTTATCAATTTGGAAGGTGAGAGGTATTGTATCATTCATTCACATCTCCGTGATTACTGCTAATGGTACCTGTGTTGAGCTTTGTCCGTCTGTCTGTGGCTTCTCTTCCATTGCAGTCTGACCTTGTTCCTGGAGTTACAGGAGCTCCTTCTGCAACAAGCTCTTCTTTTGCTCTCACGTTACTTCTGCTTGTTTCCAGTTTCAGCTTTGCACTTTCATTTCACGTTTCCTTTATGTTTTGTGTCTTTGCCGTCACATTTTAGAAAAGTCTTCTCCGTCTTCTGGTGTATTCTAGTACCTTCATTTTTTTTTAACATTTAAATCTAAAATTGTGATTATTTTTGGTGTGTGACAAGGTAATAATCTAACTATGTTTTTCCAAATTATTATTGAAAAATAATAAATAATCACTTGTTAAGTAATCTTTTTAACCAATTCATTTGGAAAACAATTATATAATAACCTCTTATTGTAATGTATTTTGTGGCTTATGTTGTGTTCCATTGAGTTGAATCCATATTCCAATGGGAGGATCACACTTTTAATTATTATAAATGGATGTATTTTAATTTCTTACCTTAGTCTTTGTAGTTATTTTTCAGAATGTCCTGGTAATAATGACTTTTTTACCCAGTTGAAATGTAGAATCACTTCAAGTTCCAAGGAAAATACTTTCAGGATTTTGATTGAAGAAAACATTGAAGTTGTAAATTAATTTGGGGAGAGTGGTCATTTTTTAAAATATCCGATCTTTCCTTCCAGAGATAGACTCTATTTATTCAAATGTCTTTGTATATTATTCAGTAAAGTATTATAGTTTTCTTTGGTTTCTGTTTATATAATTCCTAGGTTTTAAACTTTGTTGCATTGCCCATTGTGTTGGTTTTGTTTTTTGTTTTGTTTCTTTTTGAGACAGGGTCTCACTCTGTCACCCAGGCTGGAGTGCAGTGGTGTGATCTTGGCTCACTGCAACCTCCACCTCCTGGGTTCAAGCATTCCTTCTGCCTCAGCCTCCCAAGTAAATGGGACTATAGGCGTGCGCCACCATGCCTGGTTAATTTTTATATTTTTAGTAGAGACAGGGTTTCACCATGTTGGCCAGCCTGGTCTAGAACTCCTGGCCTCAAGTGATCCTTCCCCTTGGCCTCCCAAAGAGCCACAGCTCCCTATTATGTTTTAATTGGTGATTAAATATTTAATGTATATAGTTGAGTCTTTCTCTTTTTTAGAGATGGGGGTCTTACTATGTTGGCCAGGGTGGTCTTGAACTCCTGGCCTCAAATAATCCTCCTGCCTCAGCCTCTCAAAATGCTGGGATTACAGGCCTCTGCCACTGCACCTGGCCCTATTGTTTTTTTAATCTTCATTTGGTAACCGGCCACCTCTCTGTATGCTGTTACTTCCAGTCGCTTCCAGCTTGTTTATTTGGATTTTCTTGGAAGACAACATCATCTGCAAACACAGATCATTTTATTTCCTTGATGACATTTATACCCAATTTGTTTGTCTTGCTTTGTATTTTTCGCTACAACATTGAAAGTAGTGGCAGTAGTTTTCATTCTTTTGTGGTTCCTGACTTGAATGGGGATGCTTCTAGTGTCCCACAGTTAAGTCTGATATAGATTGGGAATTTGGAAGAGACAAGCCTTGATTGTGTTAAAGGACCCATTCTCTATTCCTATTTTCCAAAGAGTTTTTTTTTTTTTTTTTTTAATTCAGGCACTAATGTGAATTTTATATTAAAAAATTCAGAATCTTTCAATATAGTGTAGTATTTTTTCTCACTTATCAATAGATACAAATTATTTTGTTTTGATGAGTTAGCATTTAGAAAGTTATTGTTATATTTCTGAAATAAATCTTTATTATGGTGCATTCCTCTTTACACATAGTGCTAGATTTGAGCTGCTGCTATTTAAGTTAGGATTTGGGCATTTATATAAGAAAGATCAAGCTTAATGCTTATCAAAATGTTATTTTTGTGTGATCTAAGTTTTTTTAAATATAAAAATATTTCTAAAATATTAAAATGGCTGTTCATTTAGGGGAAAAAAGAACACACACACACAAAATCCTGTCAACTAAGTGGGCCTGGAAGCAAGAGGCATTTCAAGGAGATGGAGAACTATTTCAGTTTCTTTCACAATTAGTGATTTTTTTTCAGGCTTTCTACTTTTTCTTGAGTCAGTTTTATCATTTGTCTTTTTTGAAAGAAAATATAGCCATTTCACCTAAATTTCATCTAAATTTTAAAGTTTATTGGTATGAATTTTTACCTAAGAGTTTATGCCTACAGTCACATATATATCCTAATGTTATTTCTCTCTCTCTTTTTCTTGGTTAACCTTGCTAGGTATTTATTTGCTTTATTTTTCTTTTCAAATAGCAACTTTTAAATTTATAAAGGCATTAGACTTTTGCTTTATATTGTTTAATATATTTTTATCTGTATTCGTTTCTTTTTTAAACTTTTTTTCTCTTTTCTTGAGACAGTGTCTCACTCTGTTGCCCAGGCTGGAGTGCGACAGTGTGATCTTGGCTCACTGCAGCCTCCACCTCCCATGTTCAAGCAATTCTCCTGCCTCAGCCTCCTGAGTAGCTAGGACTACAGGCATGCACCACCATGCCCAGCTAATTTTTGTATTTTTAGTAGAGATGGGGTTTTGCCATGTTGGCCAGGCTGGCCTCCAACTCCTGACCTCAGGTGATTCACCCACCTTGGCCTCCCAAAGTGCTGGGATTACAGGCATGAGCCACTGCGCCCGGCCACCTTTTTTTTTTAACTTTATTCATTTTAGTTTTTTTATAGCTTCCCTTGAATGGTTCCCTCATTTGTTTTCTGTCCTTTTTTGATTTTTAATAAAAATATTTAAGGTTATATAAATTTTCTTGTCTGTTGCTTTGGTGGCATTCTGTAGCTTTCATATATTGTATTTATTTATAAATACATTATTTCAGTTTTGATTATCCCTTTGACTCAAGTGTTAGAGAAGATGTTTCTAAGTAATCAAGATTTTTTAACCTTAATTAATTTCTACTTTTATTACATAATTGTCAGAGAATGTGGTCTCTATAATTTTTTATTTTTTCAAATATATTTAGTCTTTGTGATCTAATATATATAACAGTTTTAGTAAATGCATCATCGATACTGGAAAACACATCTCTCTGTCACAGTGTTTGAGATACACACCCCCCACCAGCAACATATTTTGGTCACATAGGATGGATAGGTATGTACACCCCCATATAGATATGTACACACCTATACAGATATATACATTCATCCATTCTGTTTGACCAAACAATGGTAGCTTTTGCTTTGCACAGTTCTTCTCATGTCAGCATCATTTTGATCGTCGGTTTTATTTTGTATGTTTCAGTGCAGTGTTATTGAGGCCGTGAAGGTTGATGACGGCTAAAGGTCTATTGTGTATTTTACTCTTCATCGAAATAGAATTCCCCTTTCGTGGCACCTCGCATTTTTGGCCCTAAGTTCCATGGTGCTCCTGTCCCTCGTGGCCCTGGCTCTGAGTGCTGCCCCTCCTCCTCCCTTCACTCTGGCCAGGTGAGGCTTCTTCTCTGGGGGCTTTCCTCCTTTGCTGTGGTTGTCTCTTCTACCAGAGAGAACCCACCTGTTCTCCATCCACACCCCTGCCAGCCTCTGACCTGTGCAGTGTCTCCAGCTCTTCCCAGAATCCCTCCCTGGCAGCTTCTTTCCTCCTCTGCTGGTTCCTGTCAGCACTGCAGCCTCCCGTGCACCCTGAGCACGTGTCTCTCAAGTGCCCTCCACATGCACATCAGCTGCCCTCCCCCACTTCATCCCCTGCTACAGGCACGAGCCCCCCTTTCAGAGTTTCCCTGGCCCCAGGAAGACCATGCATATGCTGCAAGTCCAGCCCTGCTCAAGGCCTTTCTTTGCCAAATAATCACCTTGTTATTAAAGGAGCCGATTATGCTACTATACTCTTCTATTCTTACGGTTCACCCTGAAACACCAGTGAATTTGCTTTTTAAAAATTACTTCAAGAGCCTTGTGTTAGGCCGTTTTGTGTTGCTATTCTGTGTAATTTATAAAGCAAAGAGATTTAATTGGGTCACAGTTCCGCGGGCTATACAGGAAGCTCCAGCATCTGTTCCTGGTGAGGGCCTCGGGAAGCTTCTAATCATGGTGGAAGGCAAAGGGGAAGCCGGTGTTTCACATGGCAAGCACAGGAGCAAGAGAGAGAGAAGGGAGAGGTCCCAAATCTCCATGAATTAATGGGGCAAGAACTCACTTGTTACCAAGAGGATGGTGCTGAACCGTTCATGTGGGATCTACCCCCATGATACAACCACCTCCCACCAGGCTCCATGCCTCCAGCACTGGGAATCACATGTCAACATGAGATTTGGAGGAGGCAAACTTCCAAACCATATCAAGCCTCATCCCAGAACTTTGATCATTGGAAATGCTTATGTGAAACCTTCCCATCTTCCCTGGTGATACTCCAGGGGCCCACACCACAGCACTAGGCCATGTGGCATAGAAGGAAGGGCAGGGGTTTTAGAGACTGACTCCGTCCCTGGCTGGACATGATCCCATAACTTGCCAATGCTCCTGTCAGCTGCCCAGCTCCTTACACCTGTCTCTCAAGGGGCATTCATTCATTGGGCGGTTACCAAGGAAACTCCTGTGTGCCCAGCCCCAGGGTCAGGCGTGGTCAGTAACGCACAGTCTTGGCAGAGAGCCCCAGGCAGTGAGCAGGAATTTATAGCACATGGGGCCCCTACACACCAATTGGATGCGACCTGCCACCATACAAATACAACCTGCGGAAATCAGATGTGCTGGTCCCTCTGTTGAGAAGTCTCGGTGGCCGCAGGCACATGCTGCACTCCACAGAGCTGTCCTGGCAGATGGCGACAACCGTGGAGATCCGCAGGCCCTTTCCTTCGCAGGTTTGCTGTCTGACAGGCAGGCCTGGCCTCCCTGGCTTCCTGTCATTAACGTGGTTTCAGATGAGAGTGACCCCCCACAGCACCTCCTTGATAAGGCTCATTTCCAGAGGAAGGCAGAGAGTCATTCTTCATGGTTAAGAGTAAAGGACAGCCTTTAATTTCAGCAAATTTAGCCACTTCCTTTCTGCCCGGAGGCATAGGAATATTTCGGAACCTGGACAGGGCTGGCCTGGTTCTGAGTAGGTGGTTCC